CCCCAAAACCCCAAAACCCCAAAACCCCAAAACCCCTTACTTGGCGTATAAGTTGGAAATTTAGTAATGGATCATTAAAAATATTATTCTGGAATGGAAGATCACAATCCTTGTGCTATGGAAGGATGTGCTGAACATGGGAGTTGTTTCTTAGAACAAGAGTTTATATATCTTTGCGATAGATGCTTAGAGATCAGACATGAAAACCAAACTCTGTTGCAGACTACTATCCCTGAGATTGAGGCAAGAATCAATCAGATTAGACAGTTTATCTTTAAGTTGGAAGATCACTCTGAAATGAAGATAAACTTGAAGCGGAAGAGATGTTTAAAGAGTATTTATAAGGAGCTAGAATCGTTTAGTGAAGAAGTTGATCAGCTATATGCTAACCCTAATCGTTCTGAGTGCTCTAGAATTGCAAGAAAAATAGAAGATGCTTTTCAAGGAATTTGCTCTGAAGAATGTTTCAGTAAAGCTCCATCACATCTTTCCGAGAGTAGCCAGCAGCACGATCTTGTTAGCAGCAATGAAAATGGTAAGAAATAAGAGATTTGAATGAAAATGTGGGGAGATTTTATAAATTGTGACTTATCCAATGTATCTTTAATGGTACTTATTTTATTTTTCTTATCCTGGTAAATAACTTAAATTATAAATGAGGATAATTAGTTAAGAATATACTAAAGTAGATATTGGCTTACTTTAAGAAATTCTAAGAAAATCTTATCTATAAAATTAAATTCAAAATTGATGACATCCGAATCTAATAATTTCCAAAACTCTTCAATAACCCAAAAATCTCCAAAACCTCCAATCCCCCAATCTTCCTCTTACACCTCCTCCTAAATTCTACACCCAATCCCTCACCCCTCTCACCCTCTAGTCCCCCCTCCACCTCCCCACTCCTCCCAGCCAAGCACCTCCAACTTCGCTTACACAGACACAACCCACTCCCATAACCTAACAGAGAGGGAAGAAGAGAAAGACCAGAGTGTACAGGTTGGTACGAAATTAGCTATTTACTATCAATCAACGTTTTTACAGTGCAAAAGGAAGAAATTAATAAATCCTGTTACGGAATAATACTTTTTTGTATAAATCATCTGCAATTTCACGACCCTTTTATTCCTAAATCTTCACAAAGATAACCCAGTATAAAGTCTGTCATAAAGTTCATATTTTGACATGAAAATTGATATAAAGAATTTTTGTCAGCAACAATCGATTGTTCCACAGAAATAGTTTTACTAATATAGACATTCCTAGGGAATTTATCTCAGAAGAAGATTACTCTTCTGATCCAAACGACTGGCAAAAATGTGAGGAACCTGTAGAAAAACCTGTAGAAATTGATCCAGAGATATTTGATGATACAGTGTCTCTCTTTGACCATGATTTTGAAGCTATAGCAAAAGACATGCACTATATCGAAGGTATCCATTCGGATGAGCAATTAGAAGAGCTTGAATATCTAAATACACAGACAAGTTTCTTTAAATTTCTAAATAAATAGCCCTGAAGAATGTTTAGAAATGATTAAAGACATGCTGCACTATTCGGAAATCCCTATCCTTAAAGATTATCATGTCTACCAAGATGTTAACTTGGAACATGTTACTAATAAGTTGATTGCAAATTTTATGGTAGACAAAAGTTCTGGAGGCGATATAATTTTTAACCTACAGGACCAAAGAGATTTGAACTTTATCGGACAGATCAAAGGAAAGATCAATAGTATTAAGAACCTTAGTATTAAAGGAATACCAAATGAATGCTCTGCTGTTAAAATATTCCTTGAGGAATACGCCCCTAATCATATTGAATGGTTTAGCTTCAATCAAAATAGCAAATACAGAAACAATTTTAGGTATTATGAACAAGGCTTTCTGAATATTTGCAAAAATGTCACAAATAAAATTCAAATTTTTGAGTATGATTTAACCCAAGATCAATTCCTTTCTATCCTGAAAGCTTCTAAGCACATAGAAAATGTTAACTTTGAAAGCTGTAAGATTGATTTCCCTCCATTACTTGATGAATTGGAACAAAAGAGTTTGAATGAAGGTCTCAAAAATTCTAGAATAAGAACTTTAAGCTTAAGAGGATGCGGATCTGAAGAAAATGGAAACTGGAACAAAGACAACACTCCCTTTATTAACCTCATCAAATCTCTCGCTCCCTGCTCTGACTTCAAAACTGCTCTCCAAAAACTCGACCTCCATCAATCCGATCTATCTCATAAAATCGCATCAAAAATCCTCAAAACCTCAGAACACGGATTCTACCACCAAATTATCCCACCCTACTAATCTGCCTTCTCCTTCAATTCTCCACACAAATTTCGGGGTTTTGGGGTTTTGGGGTTTTGGGGTTTTGGGG